ATGTGTGAGGTTCCATCAAATAAATGAGGATAAATGGTGGTACCCTAACAGCCAATCACAAGTCATGACCATATTTAATATGAGATCTTGTGATTTGCTATTGGGATGCTTTTTTTCCATCCACAAAACTAGTTGCTGATTGGACAACACTCAAATCCTTGTAAAATATATTTGAACTGTTTTTTGAACGGTTTCAGCCTCCATTTTGAGTTGATTTCATCTGAGGGGGGCGTGAAATAGTTTGTATCTTCTCTTACAAAAATGTGTGTAAACCAACAATTACATTTATTGCTCATTAGATCATTAAAATATAATTTGATCATATATGTCATTTACATTGCACTACTAATATAGCCAATACGATCACTGTGAACAAATCTGAGGGGACTATTCATGCATATATTGTGTTAGGTTAATATTTCTGTGAATATTCATGAGTTTACCAAATTGTACGAGGTAGAAAAAAAAAAATTAAGTACTCTTATGTTGATTTCTATTTGACTAAATTAACTGGTGCAAATTGAAACCAACAACAGCGTATTCTAATTCTGTGCATATAATTATCTTTGTGATTGTGATTTCAGGAGGTGCAGTTGGGGGAGCAGTGGGTGCGTGGGCAACAAAAGGTACATTTCGGCCGGTATCGCAGATTCTCATTGATATGAACAAGGAGCAAAGAATGCAACTACAAGAGTATTTCAGCACGGTGGCGACAAATATCACTTCAGATGATTTCATGGCTTTAAGTAAATTAGTAGAGGGTGATGATGAAATCAGAAGAAAAATGATCTGTTCGTTGAGAAATTATTTTAATGACGAACTTAAGATGGAAATTCTAGACTGAACTCTTCTTTTTTTTTCATAAAAATTGATTTTCTGCCAGGCTGCTTTATTTTTCTAAATATAACTATTTGTGCATCAATTATCTTGAATACTCTGGGTTACTTAATCTTTTCACCAGCAGTCCCCCCTTTTCATCACACATTCATAAAATAGTCCTGTTTAAAGTCTGCACTTACCTTCAGAAGATTGGGACAAAAATAGCCAAATTTTTTGAGTAAACACTGAAATTGATTCAAATGTTTTCTGTTGGCTCCAAAATTAGGGTTCATTTCCAGAAATATTGAAGAATATAAGAAATAATTACAGAAATATTTGGGCGAGAAAGTCTGGTGGTGATAAGGTTAATCCCATTTATTCTATAGTGGCAAGTAATAGCTGACAACATTTCTTTTTTGGTTAGTGAAGATTATTCTTTTTATGCAAACTTTGTATACACATTTATATAAATTTTAATTACCATTACATTTATTAACACTTTATAGAAACAGATGAGTGAATACAAAGTAACTGATATTTAAATGTACATGCCATCACCTGATTGGTTTATTTTGTTCACCCAGCAAAACAATCAGTCTCCCTTTTATGTGAATGGTACATTCCAATTACAGTAACCAACCCTACAATATTTGTGTATGTTAGCAAAGCTTGTGGTGTCAATCAATTTACATCCAGTAGTTGTCAGTTTATAGACTTCAGATGATATTGTTGATATCTCAAAATACACTAGTATACCAGTAGTGTAAAATACAGACCTTAAAGGTGAAAGGTCATTGACATATTAAACAACTGAAATCCAATCACCATACTTAAAGTATAGATGACCTTTGTAAATGGTCACTGACATAAAACAAGTGATCACTACATGTAAATACACCACAAGATGATGAATGATTAAATATTATATTATTTTTAAAAATTATATAGCGTTACATAAAGAGATACTCTTTATAGTAATTTTGGGTATGTAGGTGTGAAATTGAGTTTTATGAAATTTCATATTTTCACTCTGTCCAAATTTGTAATCTATTGGTGCTCTATTTACAAAGCTATAAAGCTGCCGCGATACAAATTATTTTTGCAAATATATTCCTGCCACAAAAATGTAACTATTTGACCAAACTGTATTATTCTGGGTTGGATCACCTGTTTGTAATTATTTTTCTAACTGTCATTCTGTCCAACTTTGTTCAAATGTCTATGTATTAGCTTAAAGTCAAATTTTCATGATAAATAATGCCATTTTCTTCATTTTTACGTATGCAATATGTTACAAAGATGAAATAAAAATTATGGGGTCATCAGACCTGGGTCAGAGTAAATACATGTACAAAAGAGTGAAAATAGCACATTGTATTTGTTTTAAGGCATGTTATTATTGTTTTTTATGGCAAATCAATATCTAAATATTTTGATCTGTGTCATATGGTGAATAAAATTGTATATACTGTCTTTAATAATACAATACACTTTCTATGCCTAGAAGTGTTACAAAATTGACATCATTTTTAGAGGGTTTTTAAATGACAAAATGCGTTCCTGTTGTAGTATTGCTGCTAAATTGCCATTATATTCATATTAATTGACAACATTTCTCAACAATCAAATTGGCAGTGAATTTAAAAAAATTACTAAAATGATTAAGATTATTTTGACACAAAATATTTACTATATGGTATATGGTACCATATGAAGGAAATGATATATTGGTAAGCAAGGAATCAATCAAGTTCAAAACTCATTTCAGAGAAGACATCATATGACAGGTACTCGGTGTGTTTGTTCCGTAAGGAGTGCATTTCCAATAGAATCACATCTAAAAATATGTGTTTTGTAAATAATCACAAAATGCTTTAATTTATATGGTAAGTTCATGCATAACTAAATAATTCATTTCAGATTTTTTCCCCGTGTATATATACTACAGAAATCCGCCATTCATATAGATAATGAGAAATTCCTCATAAGTTGGTGTACCCACTTAACTGAACACACTGTGATTGTGTTCAGCCTTGGCTGAGGTTGTTAATTATTAAAAGCGTATCCATTTCATATTCTGACAGAATAATCAAAAATTTTCAGGGTACCATGTCAGTTGTTATCTGTGGATAGATAAAAATTAATGCTGGAACTTCAAGCTGATCGATTTCCCTATGTGATGCTACTAGTGTATCATGTTACGCAATCAAACTTGCTGTCAACAATAATAAAAATGTTTCTCAATTGAAAGTATGTCAATCCAATGAAAAAAGTAAAGATCTGTCGCAGTTCATCTTCAATATAAACATTTTATTGTGGTACATATTCCTTGCTTACCAATATATCAAATATGCGCCTATATAAGGTCAGAATTGTTGTAGCCAGCAATGTATGATACGTCTGTCTGCCAGTTATACAACTGTACTTATAATTCATTCTAGTACTTATGTGCCACAATCTGTCTTAGGTTAATGTCCCTGTTTGTTTTGTGAAACTAAAATGTTATGTTACTCAGTTTATGTTGCTCTTTAAAGAGTTGTGGTCGCCACACTGCGTGTCATTTTTGCTGATAAACGTTGATTTTTTCCCACAATCCAGTGCATTTAAGTGGAAATCACGAGTACGAGTTTTGACCTGGGCGCATTATGCACTAATTAATCTCAATAACTTCTTTGATCACCAGAGAAATTACCTAATTAAAGCTTAGTAAAGTCTCAAATTGTACAGGTTGGTCTGTACAATCATCAAAGTCACCATCTTGTTTTCATATGAGAGCCATATCTCTTGCATGTGTGGCATGAAGATCCCACCCTTTAACTACATTTTAATGTCATTTGTTGGCAGCCTCGGTTATGGCAATTTGTAAGACTAAAACTTCACAATGAAACATTAATAGCTCTATTGACTCATTTTCATTTCATTTCTCAATTAATTGCAACAAAATTCAAGATGTAATTTACAAATAGGCTGAAGTTTTCTCCACAGTAACCAAGAAGAGGGTTATTAAATAAATGTAATACTTTGTACTGGGTTGAAATTTTTGATTACCTATTTCCTACATTTATGTATATTCATTCAATGTGTGC